CACCACACACACACACACACACACACCACCAAAAAACGACCGATCCCGGAACGTATGCAAAAGATGGAGGCCCTACACATTTTATAGGGAGTTACTAACTGTCGCTGGCTATATCTATTACCTTCGTAATGTATTAATGAACGAATGAGGCTCGTGCAAGTATTTGACGGATATCCCAATTATCGAATGGCCGATGGCGGCATCTGTGTTTGGTAAACAAACCATTGCTGCCATGGCAACGTCACACCTCAGCGAATTCCTTCCTTCAGGCTGTTGGAGCGAAGGTAAAAAAAGTCTGGGGTCTGCAGGTGTGATTAAAAAGTTGACATCAGTTGACATCTGTGTTAACATTACTGTAACCTAAATGAGACTGAAGACGAGAGTCATTTTATCGCGGTCTATACTCTATATAATAATGAGAGAAAGATTCTCTTTAATCGTATACAAGATTATTTCCCTAGTTTTAGATTTTTAGTCAGAAAAGAAACTCGAAAATTCTAGTACTATAAACTCCATCTGTTCTTACATTTACAACTGTCTTAAGAAGCGAGGAGAAGCAGGACCTGTGCACATACATACATACAGTAAAACAGACAGGCACACTAAAAAATCCATCCGTGAACGGTAGTAATGAATAACTATGGTGATGTTCTAAAACCCCCAACCCGATGTAAGTATTCACCAAACAAGGGAGTAACACTAAAACCCTATACATAGCAAGCATAGCTAGCATAGAGCTGTTTTCAAGCAGGAATACCAAATACCCGACTAACCTACCAAAATAGTATCAGACAAAACAAGTCTTCACTTCTGGGTACCGAAATGTCATACGCTTTCCATTCAAAATCAATATAATAGTTTCCACTCAGTGCTTATAGAAAGACTAGGTGTTTGGACCAGCTATAAGTATACTTGTATTTATAAGTACGGCCGCGATAGCTTTACAATCGGATTCAAATCAAGATATGTGAAAAAAAACAGAACTAAAATTTCAGTTATCTCTTCCGTATTTTCTTTCGATGCTGAGTGAAGATTACAAGATTACTAAAAAATTTTAACGTCTGTGCAAGAATTGCATACCTAATACAGTATGTAATGGTGAACATATTATTTTATCCGCAAACCCTATAGACATACAAGTAGCTGACGGTGAAGATATTTAGCGTTTGGATTGAATAGTAACAGGCATTATTATAATAGAAGCACGTAGCACTGGCAGTTTCTGATCAAGAAGATGATACGGCTTGCTATAGTATTCGCATGAGCTTTGTCAAGTTTTCCATTTAGTCTCAAAACATGTAAGGAATTGTTTGTACAGTAACTTTGCTGAAACCGATACGGATAGGAACCTGATCCGTAGTACAACAGCACATAAATATACAAATAGGTAAATATATCAAAGAATATTTAGACCTTAGAACAAGTAGTATAAGTTGACTCATCTATTGTTTTGTACGTAAGTTAATTTCGTTGTACCCATGTATTTGTCTGTATATCTACATGCAGTTTTAGACCTTACGAAAGTCCCTGTACTTTTGTTGGGCCAATAAAGTTCTATATACCCCATGGAGCGAAAAGACAATTGTGACCTATAGAACGAGAACTAATGAGATACACATCGTATCAAGACGCATAGAATCAATTCCCTATAGGGTCTAAAAGTAATAATTCTAGTAAAAATCAAACCACATACCGCTTACATTCACAGGGAGTCCGAGGAATGAAGTTCAATGTTGGTTCTGTGCATCAATGGTCAGAGTAAATCCTTATGGTCAAACATTAGCTGTGGATCCGAAGATTGTGTGACAGTATCCAGACAAACCCGGTGTAAAAGTAGGTAAAGGCCCACCGACCGGTCCGTCCAGGATGTCGGGAGCGGTAATTTGGGGTTTGTATCGTATCATCACCCTGTCATTAATCTTAATTAAGAGTAGTTGTCATGATGGGTACGTGCAAGATACTGAAGACGACACGTTAAGTTTTTTTTTTTTTTCGCATAACCGGCAAACCGACTTTAGGCGTAATACAACAGTTTTGTACATCACTAGAAAGCTTGAAACAACTCCTGCAATCAAATGTGCAAAGATTATTGAGTGTAACAAGTCGTTCGCTGTGATATAGCTAGCTGCCGCCGCGCCGCGTGCCTACGAAGCTGGTGTGTTACGTACGCCGAAGGGCGGTGATACCGGCTATACCGATAGAGATACAGATTGTACAAGCACGCACTTGTACAAGCTGCGTTTGAACCACTCACACCGGTGGTGGCGGGTTGGCTCTCCCAAACACGGGACCTCCATTTAACGTCCTATCCGAGGGACGTCCCTATCCGAAGCTACTAGTAGGTAATCAAAGTAGCAAATTTGTTTTTGACATAACTCCATGAGCCGTACTGTACGAAACGAGTCTAGATCTGTGCATGTGACTATACATATTTGAGGTTTTTTTATTGCTATGAAATCCACACTGTATGTTTAGAGAAGGAATTAAACTGATACGCACGACATAAATTGTTCTAGTAGAAGCTTTCAGGTGGCTTCCGCCATCTTTCTTCAGCTCATAAGAGGGGTCACGTGACCCAGGTGTCAAAAGTATCAAAGGGTACGTAGGTTTCACACCGTATTACAAGAACATTTCAAATTGGGAGAAGGCCTTTATGGCTCTACAATTGTTTAAGGTACAATATATCGCAACTTGACTTGTCCACTTGTATTAAAAAAACAGTGAAGACAACAGATTATGCTGGAATATGCTAATAACTCGTTACGTGTGATGTGACTACGAAACGGACGACAAAGTTACATCGTCAGTGTAATTAACGGGATGTTTTGATCCTACCTCCTATCCTTTGATTATTTTGTTCTAGAATATTCAATGGCGTTTGTATTGTTTCACCCCACAGATACAACAAGTACAGACAAGCTGCAAGCTGGGAGAAAATCAACACGTACATTCTCGGCTGGCTGGTCTGTGATGCTGTACCTGTGCCGACTCAAAAAAGTTTATTGTTTATTATAATTGTTTATTGTTTGTTTGCTTTGCACAAGATAAAATGAAATATCACAATTAAACATACGTTAACATACATGGGAGGGCCAGAAACTTGGAGGTTTATATTTTGCCCTTCCCAACACTATAGGATTAAAAGTTACCATTGATACTGAATGAAACAAAATTTAAACGTGGAAGACAAAAATAACAGAAAATAACAGAAACAATCCGAAGAACTAATGAAACAATACAAATCATCCGGGAAATCAGGGAAGAAAGTGCAGGAATACATCAACTCCGTCCACGATAATATTGTTCCGTCTACTCTGATTTTCTAAATAGTCAATTTTCTTGGAGAACTCCGGTAACTTGAGATGTTAGGATCTTCACTAACTCTATAGTGATTTTCAGTGTAATAACATCAGACTGCGCTTCCTTTTAAGGAAGCCCAGTCTGATGTTAATACACTGAAAGTCACTATAGAGTTAAAAGTAAAGACTTGAGCGAGTCGGCTTCAGCTTGAAAGTATTGTAGTGAGGTTTTCAGTTCATGCACTTCTCGCACGAGGGCGTCAATACGGTTATTTGCGGAGTCCGTTAACATTTGTGTAAATGATTGGAAAATTGCTCCTTGTCTTTTTAGGAGATCCACAAAGTGAGCTCTGTTTTGGTCCATTATCTCTTTCATTACTCCGACGGATACAAAACCGTCTTCCATTTGACTTTTCTGATGACGCGGCATGGTGAAAACTTGAATGAGTGTCTACTAAATTGGAACGAACTCACCGTTTGCCTTCTTGTGGTCTTGAGTTGAAGAGTTTGGATGTAGAGTCGTTTTCTAGAACGACGTCACAATTTTAGTTGCCCACCTGGGAATTCGATTTATTAATTTATTATTTTATTTTTGTTTTATTCAAACAGGGTAGAGACCTCAGTGCTATTTAAAAACACTGCTTTTCAGGAATGCCCTGTGACAACAAGTTACTCATGAAAACAATGAAACCAACACATTAAACAATACATAAAGTTACAAAACAACCAAGTGTCAAAACAAAATCGTTAACCGTAAATCAATGTCGTTAAGCCAGGCCAAGGTCAGAATTTTACCCGCCAATCGAATGGTACTGCAAAACAAAACAGGGGGGGGGGCGTCAGCGAGAATACTTGCAAATATCAATGTAGGTTGAATACTGTGCTTCTTTAGCCTTCACATAAGACTGTAACAAATACTAGGTACTGACCGACAAGGGTCTCCGTTACAGAGACCCGTTGATTTTGAAGTATTCCGTAGCTGAGGATGTTCAGAGATCGACGCGGCGTCCTTCTGGTATTTCCATGGCGTCTCCCTGTTGACGGCTAGTTTCAGCTTACTTGTCGAAAATCTCCGGTGTAGAAATGGTGATTTACCAATTTTTCTACATCAGGCAGTACTTCAGCACTTCAAAGTTAAGATTCGATGACGATTTAAGGATGATGCCGAGTTTTTTTAAGGCTTTTTTTAACGCTTTGTATGGGGACACTCAGCTCAGAGAGGGAAGAAGCGGCCATCTTGGACGAGACCATATTGTATAGGATCGCGCGTGGACCAAAAATAACGAGAAAGGCACTGAAACCGTTGCTCAGCTTCATAGTTGTGTTTAGCTTTTTATTCATGGCGTTTTGTATGCTCGGGTTTCTGGCTCTCGGCTCTAGGTTGAGTCTGTACAGCAGTTTCGTTGGAAGAATGCAGACGTTGTTTTCTGTCATGCTCAGGAAAATGGACTACTACTCGGTAGAGTCGGCAGGGGGCGTCCTCGGACCGCTCATGCTGTTCTGCTTCGTCTTGTTTTTCGCCAACGTCCTGGTCATGATGTTTCTGGCCTTTTTCGTCGACGCTGTGGGAAGTCAGAAAACGAGAAAAACAAAGACTACGGGGTGCGGCGAACTGTTCTCTCAACGGACAAACTCCCTTGGCATGCTTATCTTTTTATTTGGCCGATTTCTACTCTTTCCAGCCGCCTCCCCAAGCCTGGTAGAGGCTAGTACAGAATCGTTTTTACGTCAATTTAAGCTTCTATTTTGATAGTGTTTTCGGTAGGAGTGTTACAGTTATAGGGATATCCCATCGTGAAATGCCCACCGGGAAACCTAGCTGAGGCAGGCGGGAAACAGCTCCTGCAACCCCGAGGAAAAGCCGCCCCTACCACGGTAAGACTGGATACCAGGCTAGCCATGCAGTGGTTGAGTTCCCTAAAAGCACCTCGGGGTATTGAATTCCAAATTACTGCGAACAAAAGAAGAGCTTGTGTTGTCATCCTTCATTCTCGTCAAATTAGATGGCTCTTATCTCTGTAAATCAGTATGTGTGTCCCTTTTTCGGGGATGGGAGGGGTGTGAAGAGGTAGCGTATGACATATTGGTGATCTCGTGCCTAATAGTCCAACAGGTGTTTTATTGATACCAGTCATTCTCTTTAAACATTTATATGATACACCATGCTAACACCAGTTTATTCAACACTATATTTAAAGTCACAAAACGCCCGCAAAAGTCGCATTCACAGCACTTCAACATGTATTCCCAAGACGTGGTGACGGTACACTCAAGTTTTGTTCAACCTATTTCTATGCCGACACTAACACAGAGGACAATACAATACTCATTTTAACCCGAGCAAGTGAGGAAATGCGTGTTAAGTGCATGCCCCAATTCCGAAAGTGGGCAAAGATGTCTGTTGCCATGCCGGAAGGTGGATGGCAGATAACTATGAAGAGAAGAGACAAGAAAAGGCTCTGATTTAATGTTTTGTTTCTTACTTTGATGCAGTGATATGTGATGGTGGTTGTGTCAAATTCACATACCTGTCACTGAATCAAAAGCATGTACCATTTGTACAATGATTGAGTCAAAATTTAAAAATGTAGTAATATTTTTTTCGGCCGCTCGCATTAGATTTGGAGTCTACGGAGGATGTACATGTCATCCATAAAATTTACTTGCTGTGGCCTAATATAATTATATAAACAGTTGTCCATGCGTCCGTTTACATGTTGGGTCTGGGTAATTCTAGCTGCACAAAGGGGTTAGTACTTGAATAAAACTTTAAGCTTATATTGATCGGGCCAGATGACTTTGTACACATGTCGTAAGACACAATAATAAACTTTTATTCATTCGTTCACCCATTTGAGTCACCAGAACGGAAGCAGAAAAGCTTACTTAGACATAGGAGAATAACCCGCTATTTACTAAAGAAAACCAAGTACATCGCCAGTGACGTTATTTCGCCAGTGACGTTTTTTTTTTATTATCATTATCATTTTGCTATTCCAACGTTTATTAAAAGACATGACGACAGCACACACCATTTTTTCAACATAACATCTTAATGCCACAAACGTAGATAAAACGCATGGACGGACAACAAACATACACATTTTCAGGTAACATTGACCACACATGCACATAGTTTTATACAGTTATGCAGCACCGGTGTACCACTGTAAGAAACAGGAGGAGCGAGTAGAAACGGATAAAAACCCTGCTGGTACCGGGCCGGGGTTTGAACCCACGACCTAACCCGAGCACCAGTTCAGACTCCGACGATCTAACCACTCGGCTAAAGGTCTAGACCCATAGGCCGGGTCAGTTATGCACATTACATCTTCGGCACGTACTAATTACTGGCTGAGTTAATGGTTCCAGGGTGAGACAATACGTGCCCCACATTATGGCACCATCCCGAGAAGCCCCCCCCCCCCGACAAACCGGTTTTATCCTGCTCCAGTTCAGATTACGTATTGTGAAATACCGGCTACAGAAGGTACGAATCTTCCTGTGGTTTTTCTAACCTCCTGAATTTAAACTGAACTAAGACGTGGAAAAAAGACAATCAACTCATCGACACTTGTCTGAAATCACCTCCTTGGAATGTAAACGGTATGTCGTTTGATTTCTTATTATTTGAGTACGTTAAATGAGCCCACGGTTCCCTGTGTTTTTATTGTAATGAAATGAAATACCTTTATTGTACATTCATGCCACGACGGGCTAGGTACAGGTCAAGACTTAACAGACACATAACAAACGTATGTAGAAAAGTAGAGACAAAAGATACACTGCTTGACTTAGACATACATACATAAGGAACATACAAGGGTACTATACTAGGCTAATACAAAGTGTTCTAGTGACTGAGGTAATACAGAGTGGTCCTAATTAACCCTGGGGATTAAGTCTGTTGCGAATCGCAATGTATTCTCAGCAGACATGTAACGATAGACAGGGCTAACATTCACGTGAATGCTTTCATAAGACATCACCCCATTACAAACATTTACATTCAAGTTCTTACAGAATAAAGTTACAACCGGAAACGGCCGATTCGATTTATTTAGAACTACGTAATGCTGAGGTCACTTTTCGAAATCGGGGCCCGGCCGGGCTGTTTGCATGAGCAAAAAATTTAACAATTCATATCAAGAATATAAAGCAAATAGTACCCATGAATAGTTTCTAAAATGTTTTCTGTTTTCCTGTCTTTTATATCGTACCTTTCGTTCCCAAAAGCTGTCCGGCCGGGCCCCGATTTGGAAATGTGACCTCAGCATAAACAGATACTGTAAGGTTGGATCAGCCAAGCCATGCACCTGTCAGTTCTCATGCCGTTTGTTGCTATTGAGCCCCACCAGTGTTGTCGTTACTAGTTACTTTGAATGGAGTTGTTTCCAATAGGATTAAACCTCAGCTTGAAGCATGCAGGTGTCTTTGTTTATTGTTTACTGTTTTTGTTTATTGTCAGTTTGCACATAAAAAAGTAACAGTATAAAATGAAATTATATACAAGCAAATATATGCTGGAGAGCCCAAGAAACCTGAAGGTTTGTCCAGTGGACTCTCCCAAATCCTAATAATTTTACGATCTCTTATTTACATACATTTACATTTAACTTGCAATGTATTAAGGGACAAGCAAACAAATTAACTCAAAATAGGTACAAGATAATATAAAGTTAACACGGCAAATTAAATATCTAAACAATAAAGTAAGACAATCAAGAACAAATCATATTGAACAAAAAAAATAAATTTCCATTAGTGTTTCATGCTTAGATAGCAATCGCTTCCTTTCCTAGGGAGGTTGAATAGCGCAGGCATGAGTCAACACGTTTTAACTTATAGCAAGGAAATGTGACTCACTGATGAAAAAACTCATTGTTACTATTAATACTAGTAATTGTATTAGCGTTCCTTTTACTCACTCTGAATCTTTGGACACAAATCCGGTTAGCATTGACTGGACTGTTGTCAATGTGGCGGAGACTTTCTTTTGTATATTTACAATGTTTTATCTGGTCTTAAACATATAGTGAGCTCTCCGCAATAGCTTACTCTCATTATCCAAAATTTTAGCTTGCTCTCATTATACAAAATTTTAGTTAGCTAACCAACATTTTAATTAGCAATTATGGAGTATAATATGCAGCTTTTGGAGTTGTAATTGTACTAATAAATTTTGCAGTTTCTGCTTTTCTTGGCAGCTTTCCATTATATTATCTATACCATGATGTTTGCATAATTTATCTAAAGCACCTCCAGATCGGTGTGCTTTTGTTATTAGTAGTCTAAGAGTAGCTCGTAAAACAAACAACATAAAACACTGTTTCCCCATGGGGAAATCAATACATTGTCTCTTGATACTAATGGGCACTCTTTGCCACCACGTGGATACTTCTTAAAAACGTCTGGTCAAGTGGAATATATTTGAGAACTATTCTTCCTTCTCTTGTTAAGTTAAGTTCAGATTTTACAACCACCCTTATGGGATTTTAAATAGATAGAAATTTGAGACTTTTTATGCGAGTTCAAAAATACAACTAAAGACATAAGAATAATGTGACTTAGAGTTGTTTTAATTCTTTTTTTATTTGTGATTTAATAAATCATGTAGATTCGTTGTCTAGTATCACCCTGTTGCAATTCACGTACCCCCCCAATTTTTCCTATTACACATTTTATAATGGCTGCATCCTTGTAAGTAGTACTTTGTAGCAGTCAAGCAGTGCCCTTATTATGACCCTTGTCATTGTTGCTATTGAGCTGTTAGGTTACTGTTTAGATAGCGTTCCTACATGAAATAACAAGATGTACTGAATAATTCTGTATTCTCCAGTCTACTTTATTTGGTACTTTCTCTTTCTAACTTTCTTCTCATATTCCCTCTTTACAGATCTCCATCTGTAATGTGCACATTTCGTGACGATTTTTTCAAATTTAACATAAAAGTCATATTCATACTTGCGGTATTGAGATAAAAATACAATGTTTTGATACTTCTGACTATCACGTTCGGAAAAGTTATTTGGTGTATTACATCCTCCACCAGACTATTGTTTTTACTAAAAAAAACATAGTAAATTGGTCTCATTTCCCCTCTTTTATCAATGCAGTACATGTACCCATATTAGCTTACACCTTTTGAAGTTTTGTGAAGGGTCATTCAAAGACAACAAGGGTCATTCAAAGACTGTCTTTACCCGGGATGCCTTGCGGCATTCTAATGTGACGTTGCCAAGGCAACTCCGGCTGATTTACCTTGCACGCAAACCGCCTTCGGTCGCTCATTAGCAAAATAAATATCATTGGCAGGCGTTTATATTATTAGATATCTGTCGGTTTTTTATGATGAGGGTGCTTATTTTCCGATCAAACGTAGATTGTTAACCCTAGTTTGCCATGAGATACTAGGGTTGAACGACAGCGCTTGTAATGCGTGCGGTCTATAATAATACAAACGTCGATCCCGGAACGCCTGCTAAGAAGGCTAAAAGAATACAACAAATGCAACAAGAAACTGGACTGAGAATAAAGACCACGAGCAGCTAATAATGAGACAGTACATGTA